AGGAAGAATGACGTTGTAGTCACGAAGTCGAGGTCTCAACTGCCGTAGGAACAATAGCACCTCAAAGTTTGCAAATAATAAATGCAGACAACTATAATTATAGCCTTTTAGTATAATTTCAGAATAATCTTCGTAGTATTACGCAGTGAATACAATTCCTGCTGTTTCAATGTAAGAGTTTCTGCTTTTTGTCGTCGATTTTGTTCCGTTGAACAACTAGAAATAAACTTCAAGCTCTGTAATTATTCACGAAAATTTACTCACTCGCCCTTGATCATGCAGCTAATATTTTAAAGCAAAATTTAACAGCAGGGCGGAAATAATCAGCAAAAGACGCAATAAACGGGGTTCCGTTGGCGCACTCTGATTTCTACTAAATGTCTTTACACCTTTCTTTCCGCAAAATTTTTATCAGTATTTTACATAGCACCACAAAAGTTTTCTCCGGCAAAAATGTCTCAAATAGCAACTATTTAGTTAATAATCCGACTGGAAAATTTTCTAGTCTTCCTACAAGCCAAATCTCAGGTCAATAAATTTAGACATCCTCTTACAGCATGAGTCATTCTGTTCAACAAAACTTTGGAGAAATATTGCACTTCACCAATTTGTCAGGCTACCGCAATGAGATTTTTGCTTTTTGTGGCCTTCCTTGTTTTTTTTTGCGGAATGCGCGGCGAATGGGACTAAGACAACAAAAAAAGGGCATGGTGAGCCAGTTGTATGCAATCAGTACATTGGACAGGGCGCTGTAACTAGCGATGCTATCAAGAAACTCGATGAAAAGCTCGATCAGCTAATAAAACTGCAGCCTTCTCCTTATGCAGCCTTCTCCTTATGCAGGTAATTTAAGAATTTTTATATTCCGTTCTAACACACAGATGTGATTAAACTAATAACACCTTTAAGATGAAATGTAATGTAACAAAACTCAACTTCACCAAACACAAACAAATTTTTTTTCTCAACAGCTTCCACTTGCAAGGAGATTTATGACAAGAACCTGTAAGTAAAGAAGGCTAAAGATACACTAATACACCTCATTTTCGTCGTAAACACAGAGTTACGCCAGAAAAAAATATCGCCAAAATCGGCTTCCACTCACAACCCAGAAGCTCCCTATAGACAAGAGAAAAAGATGACGTGTACTTTTGCGTTATTGAGAAGAACGAAGAGAATTCAGACACACAAAAGACAAAGGATCCAAACATGTTTGGACTCATCTGCACAAGGTTTATATCACTGAATGATGACGAAAATCCCCGGTTACACAAAAACGAAAGTTTCTGGGCAAAATAACCGTAAATTAATGTAGAAAAGAAAGGAAGTGTGTCAGTGTACCGAATGCATCAAAACTGTAAAAAATATACTTTTTTGGTTTTATGCTCCTTCATTTTGAAACCACAAAGTTGACAAGAATATAAGCTAACTTATGTGAACAAAATCAGGGTTTTGAAAATCATAAAAACACTGAACCAATCTTTACGTTCGTTCGATTTCTAATAAGTCAACAACTCGTGCAAAAATACCCTATGCGCCATGGCCTGCTTATCGACCAAGTCAGTAATGAAAAGGTTACTCAGTATTTCACGATTTGACCAAACGTCGTTGATCTGATGTATACACTTTGAAACGACAAATTTCTTTTTCGGGAATTCTAAATTTGCATGACGCCCTTACTTGGACAGCCTTTTCATAAGCTCAAACGAGTGAAATATCCCAGGCAGAGGTGAATCAATGAAGTTGTATTTTCACCAGGTCCAAAGGAAACAAAGCTTACTTGTTGAATGTTGGATCCAGAAAGATTCCCGTATATTGTCACATGACCAAGTATATGCTTGATGCATGCGGAGAGGTGGATAGACGCTGGTCATGGAGATAGATGGCTCAAAGGTATTAAAAGTTCAATGTTCTCACATGTAGCTCGGTCTTTTATTCCCTAATTCCCAGTACAAAGGTAATCTTATAGTGGAATTCACGAGTTCACGTCAAGGGAAAAAGTCCGTGCAGGTTTAAATGTATGGGGAGCATAATATCTGAGGACTTGAAGACTTAGCAAAAAGAATAGTGAAGACGAACATGTAACGGCATTATCTAATAGATCAAACAGCAACGTGATAGTTGCTCATATAGATGGATTAATTGCTGTTTCTGTTTCTATTTATTACTATTTTTTTATTTATTCATTTACTTGTTTGTTTTTATTATTTTTTAATGTTCCCAGAAAACCTTTCACTACAATTCCAATCTCTGGGGCAACAAAGCCGACTCCAATCTTCCAGGAGGGAAGACTGGGTTGGACACTCACGAGACCAAGTTACCGACTTATTGGAACACGCTGTTTAACAAGATCTGTCTTGGAATGAAGATCGGTCAGCAGTTCAGGTCTGTTGTCATCAACCATCAAGCCAGATCTCTGTATTCACTGATCGCAGATGGCAAATACCGAGCTACTTCACTGGGCGCGCCGTAACACGGGGAAGAAGCTCATTGGCTCTCGGGCCTCGTTACAACCCAATTGCAACAAAGAAGGATTCAACGTTTTATGTACCGATATCAACCACTCCAAAGCGACAATTGGTATCGTTGCTAACAATCAAAATGTCTGTAGCATTTGCGACTCCAGAATCGGGTTTATAAAACAACTTAAGACTTTTTAGGTTTGCACCTCTAAAATCTGCTAACAATAAACACTCTTTTAAGTAAAACTTCCTTCGCGATCAGAAATACGCAATTTTCTCGACGACCTTATGCGACCGCAAGTACCGAAAAGTATTTAGTATTTACCATCACATTTCATGAGAATGTCAACATATTTGACAGCTTGTCACAAAATGCAACTAATTCTTAATTACCCGACTGAAAAATTTTCTGTTCTCAAACACAATTCCACTATTCTGAGATGAACAAATAGAGACTATCTTAGAGAAATATTAAAGTCATCCAGTTTCATTTGGCTTCCAAAATGGAGTCTTGTTACGTTGTTCGTGTTTCTCGTCGCATACGTAGCTAATGGGGCGATAATTAATTTTTTAATTATTTTAAGCAAAATTTTTACTAACCAAGTCTGGTTACTTGGACACAGTTTTATTAACCAAACAGGCTACCTTTTATATCGAGCACTGGTTCTAGTCTTTAACACAAGTCAACTGTTTAGAGGTCAATAAACAGAGAAAACCTCATAGAAATATTGTAGTTATCCAGTCTCATTTGGCTTCCACAATGAGGCACTGGCTTTTTGCAGCGTTGTTCCTGTTTCTCGTGGCATACCAAGTAAATGGTGCTAAAATTACAGACTGCACGAATAACGTTCACGCCCAAACAGACGAAGCAACAATTGTTTGCAAACAGTACATTGGAACGGACGCTGGAACCAACGAAGCTATCAAGAACTTGGATGAAAAGCTGGATCAGATAATCAAACTACTACAGCCTTCTCCTAATCCAAGTAAGAATTGCTGACTCAAATAAAATTATCCTCCGTTCAGAAGAACAGTTTCTTGCTTAACTACAGGCAGAATAATGAAATGAAGTATACAAAAGTAAGTCTCGAAAAGTTTCTTAGTTTATTTTCTTTTTGGCCGATTGCCATTTAGAGCACAACGCAAGCGAAGCTATGCTGCCAACGCGAGGAATGAAATTAAACCATGAAATAGTTTGTTCACTACGTAAAGTGTTATTTGTCGTTAACCATTTTCGCGTTATTCAACAGCCTTAAAAAGAATTTAGAAGTACTTGTGGATCATCTTGATATAGCTAATGTTGTTTTCTAATTCTCCAGTAACAGCTTCAACGTGCAAGGAGATTTATGAAAAGAGCATGTAAGTACAAAAGATAGAAGAAACACTATTTCACCAATGTTTATACACGTATTCATTTGCAAACACAAAGTTTTCAACTTCCGCAAACTGAACTACTGCCAAAATATCAGGTTTTTTACTCACGAATCCATCATACCTTCAAGACAATTATGTTCTCAAGGCGTAGAAGAGAAGATAAAAAACAAAGAGGGACAAAATGATCAGATTTTTACTAAATCTTCAAACATATTTACGACTTTAAACTTCAAGGTCGCAAAAAAAAAAAATTAATAAATATTTCTTCTCAGTGACGCACAAATTTGAAAATATAAATAACAAAACTCGGTATGGCAATATTGAAAATAATAAGTAAAGATATCGATCACTATTTCAATAGGAAAATATATCGCAGATATAAAAAAATTCCATAACGCTAGAAACGTTCTAGTTGAAATAGAGGTTTAAATAAGCTATTGACATAAGATGACGGAGTACGCCGAGGACGTTAGCAACAGATCAAGAATCACAGCCCAGTCTTGGGTTAGTAATAAAGTAAAAAAATATACTCTTACAGAAGGTCAAAGTCAGTAATGACTACGTAACTTTGTATTCTTAGACTATCAAATGTGTCACATGAAACTTCGAGACTGCTTTACAGATAATTCTAGGCTATTTTATTCAAGTTTTAAAAAAATTCTCCCTTTTGGCTCTCAATAAAGAAACAAATATTGTGATTTGAAGTAAAGAAATGACGTTCTACGTTTAACCAGGTCCAAAGCAAATAAAGCGTACTTGCTGGACGTTGAGTCTACAAAGGTTCCGGTATATTGTCACATGACCAGTCATGACCTTGATGCATGCGGAGGAGGCGGATGGACGTTGGTAATGAAGATCGATGGTTCAAAGGTATTTATTTATATTGAAATGTTCAAACGAGTAGCTTGGTCTGTCATCACCTTATTTCCACCAGGGGTAAAATAAGGGAGTCTGGAGAGGGTAGGTTTAAAAACTGTTGGCTCAATGATGTATCAAATCACTGTAAGCAGTAGCAGACAACGTATGAATAGAACAATAAAATAAGGACTTAAAGATTTAGCAAGACATCCAGTGAAGACCAAGATGTGACTGCATTACACATGTATTCGTCACACAGATAAAACAGCAAAGGTATGCTAGTAAGGTGGCTGAGCACTGTTTTGGCAGTTACTGCCAAAACAGTGCTCAGCCACCTTATGAGTTTGTGAGAAAAAGCAAGAGAAAGGTTGTAGCTCACAAGCTGAAACTTGGCAAGTGAAAAATATACTGATGAAAGATTTTGATTGGCAGGTAAAATGTGACATTTTCGTAGTTTCCATGGCAATATAAACGATTGAATGCAAGCTTAAAATTTCACTTTTTCTCAGTTTACATAAAATTCGCTCATTAGATTTTCCTATAAACTTGCACTCAGCTTACTAAAATAAATCATTACCATTTGAAACTTATTTGACCAAATTTTGACAGACGTGTTTTTAGATAATCAATAATATAATTGTACTGTAATTATTAAATGTGTCACATAATTCGTCTGTTCAACTTCCATTTTAAAGTTCTCATTATTTAAAATACCATGAAAGTAAAAATTCTGCCAAATACCACAAAATTTTGAAAGAGTAGATTTTGAGAAATCGTCTTCAGTGTACCATTGCTTTTTTCGCCGCCATGTTTGTTTGTCTAATTTAAAACACGCGCCGCCACGCGAGTTACCGCTGACCGCCCGCAAAACTGTGTTCAGCCACCTTAATATAAACGAGTTCGTTGCTATTCTTGTGTTCACAGAAAACATTTCACTACGAATCCAATCTCTGGAGCAACAAAGTCGCCTTCAATCTTCCAGGAGGGAAGACTGTGTTGGACACTCACGAGACCAAGTTACCGACTTATTGGAACACACCGTTTGACAAGATCTGTCTTGGAATGAAGATCGGTCAGGAGCTCAAGTCTGTTGTCATCAACCATCAAGCCAGATCCCTGTATTCACTGATCGCAGATGGCAAATACCGAGCTACTTCACTGGGCCGTAACACGTGGAAGAAGCTCATTGGCTCTCGGGCCTCTTTGCAACCCAACTGTAACAAGGAAGGATTCAACGTAGTTGGTATCCACAAGGCCTGGTCTAAAGCAAGGATTGGTATCCTTGGAAACAACGAGAACGACTGCGGCAACTGTGACTCCCGTATCGGTTTTGGCACCGGAGGGACGCACGATGACTCCAACACGTGTGGTAACGAAGCTAGTCATGGTGGAGATAATGGTGACCAACACATCAAAGCGATGGGATACATCTTGGTTCAATAAGTGCTGTAATACGCAAAAACAGCCTTTAAATGGCCTTAAAATGCAAATAAGAAACTATTGATTGTTGTTTATTAGCGGTTTAAAAGTAAATCTAGAATTAAAGATTTTGTAACCCTGACTGAGATGAAATAAAATCTTGCTCGAGGCCATAAAGACGATTTCATTGATAACTACCCTTTTCTGTGCTGTTTTTTTTGGATTAATGCAGTTGTAGATTATCTTTGTCAATCTTGTGTCAACTGAACGAATGTTACAAGATAACAAATGAAAGCAGCAAACATTTTTCACGCTGACCCAGTTATATTTGAGGCAAAATTTGGTCCACCACCTAAAAACATACACCATTCACATAAAATAAAAACTTTACTGCAATGGATATATTAACTGATAAGAAGAGAAAAAAACCTTTAGTTTAATACTGATGAAGAGAAAAAATCAGTTACAAACATGAGTCCATCTGAGCAGATTTCATCATCCACTACATAACACGTGCTGCTATACCAAAGATACGTCTTCGCCTTCACCTCACAGAAAAGATATAACTACTAGGGTATCTAAGAGATAGTAATGCTGCGGCACATTCTGTTGATACTGGCATCAGTTAGGCAGTGGGACTTAAAAGAATCGAAAATGACATTGAATGTCCTATTTACATGTTGGAAAGTACTAGAATAATTACTATCAGTCTATAGAAAGAAATCGTGGGCACGTTGTTTACAAAATTATCAAGTAGTTACAACTCTGGTTTTCCCACAGTTAATTGTAGGACATAATAGAAATTCAGATTGTTTATCCATACATTTAATATATGGTGCACGATATTTTCTCTGGAAACACAATACTTTTCTTGCTGTTTGTTGCACTTTATTAAGTAACAGTTATTTAGCTATATATTTATAGAAAACAACAACACAAAAAACGGAAAAA